GTATGTGCTCTTTGGAAGCTCATTATCCTTTGGAAGCATATCTTTTAATATAACAAGCAAGTCCGTAAAACTCTTATCACTCCACCCATTTCTAGCTTTCAAGTTAAATAGTTTCAATGTGGCATATAATCGGGTGTATTTATCAAGACATCCTGGCCACAAAGGTTTCTCTGCATCAACCAATATGGTATCTAACTCTTCTGCTCGATCTGTAAAATCATTTCCTACATCTCGAAACATATCATGTAATCGGTCATATGCATCATCATCGCCATGACACACTTGATTGCTTGTATCAGTGTTGGAGGAAGTCGATGTGTTTACTTCTCCATGCCATATCCACGTTTTGTAGAATTCAATAAAACCATTGCCGTATAAATGGTCTTCTATTTCAGCGGCGCTCAACATCAGGATATTGACACACTTCTTACAAGAACAACGAAACTTTCCATCCTTACTTGAAGCATTGTTCTTTGCGAATTGTAGAAATTGGTTAACCCCATTGGCATATTCTTTCCCCGTACGAGGCGCTGTTATCCAACTTTTATCCATGAACCAAAAGCCTAAACACATAGATGAGAAAAACGAAATTGAGTAGAATTGCAATCAAGAAAGAAACGCGCATATGCCTTCAATGAAAAGCTGCTGGAAGTGAACAATTGCTATGGGAGGAGATATTGAAAAGTATACTAGTCAAAGAAAATACAGATCAGATAGTTTTAGAGAAACAAAGAAGAACATATGCTTTGGAGAAAAACATATACTTATATATTAACTAAGAGTTTTTTTTATAGAGTAATTGACCGAGCCTGGCTGTTTCGGAGCGGGTCAGAACTGACAATTAGGGAAAATATTTCAGGAGGTGAACAAATGAAGCAAAACATACACTTGCATATAAACTAAGACTTTTCCATGTACAACAACAGACGTGACCCGGCCGGTCAGTTTTCTCACACGCACATTGAAGTGGCCTTTTGATTTGGCGTTTTTATGCGGCAGCCATTTGATCCTACAGTTTGACCATATTTTCTGATCTTGAGCACGATCTAGATCGCCCAAAGATACCTTAATCATAAGATTGGACAATCTTACGAATGGTACAGATGTTAATAACCTTGCACATAGTTGATGAGTGAAGAAGTAAGAAAATTCCTTAAGTTTCTACCCGTGTGGTTTCTTACACAAGTGTTTTATTATTATTTTGCTTCAAGATTTTAGTTTAGTTTCTCATTATCTCCTAACTTTAGTTGATTACTTTACTGTGACTTTAGTTTATAATTACTGTTTATTATTTTTTTTCAAGTGTATAGGATCACTTTATTAGATTGGTATAAACAAACAGATAACAACCTAATCTGACCAGATAACACCAACCAGTTCAGAGTCTTAACAATGCTACAGTATTTTTAAGATTTGCAAAAAAGTTTTAAGTCACAAGGTGTGCAACTTCTTACCGCATCCTATACTGTTTGTTTCAACAAAAGAATGCTAAGTTTGCTTCAGGAAATAGCTTCAAGAACCAAACATTGTCTAATGACAGATCTAGCTTATGAGTGTTATCATTGAATTTCTAATAAGTAAGAATAAGCGTCGTTGCAAGTGCTTAAAATGCAATAAAAAAATTCTAATAAGTATAGATGTTATATTGTGTGTGTTGTTTTAGTAGCACACGTGCAATATTATAGCTAGCTGCTAAAATCAATCACATTTTAATCTATTAATGACCTGTGAATCTAATGAAAAAGTACTCCAAACACATCAGATTTATTTAAATTAAGTTGTATTTGGGATGAAAGACATTCATTCAGACTACAATAGGCCTCTTGAGTATATATATCATATTCAGCCTGTCTTGAAGATGGGGAATCCTAGGGAAAAATAGGAAGGATAATTGGGAAAAGTAAGCATAAGGATAAAAATGCGCTTTAAACTCAATAAATTAACTTTTAATCAGATTATGAAACTACTCATTATACAAACTAGTTCCTTTCACTTTTAGCAGGTCAATAACAAAACTTTTCCATCTCAGTCAAAAACGTTAAGAACTTGAAATTTAAAGTTTGGTGAAATTATTTTACTTCAAGATTTTAGTTTAGTTTCTCATTATTTCCTAACTTTAGTTGATTACTTTACTGTGACTTTAGTTTATAATTAGTGTTTATTATTTTTTTTCAAGTGTATAGGATCACTTTATTAGATTAGTATAAACAAACAGATAATAACCTAATCTGACCAGATAACACCAACCAGTTCAGAGTCTTAACAATGCTACAGTATTTTTAAGATTTGCAAAAAAGTTTCAAGTCACAAGGTGTGCAACTTCTTACCGCATCCTATACAGTTTGTTTCAACAAAAGAATGCTAAGTTTGCTTCAGGAAATAGCTTCAAGAACCAAACATTGTCTAATGACAGATCTAGCTTATGAGTGTTATCATTGAATTTCTAATAAGTAAGAATAAACGTCGCTGCAAGTGCTTAAAATGCAATAAAAAAAATTCTAATAAGTATAGATGTTATTGTGTGTGTTGTTTTAGTAGCACACGTGCAATATTATAGCTAGCTGCTAAAATCAATCACATTTTAATCTATTAATGACCTGTGAATCTAATGAAAAAGTACTCCAAACACATCAGATTTATTTAATTCATTCAGACTACAAATAGGCCTCTTGAGTATATATATCATATTCAGCCTTTATGAAACTACTCATTATACAAACTAGTTCCTTTCACTTTTAGCAGGTCAATAACAAAACTTTTCCATCTCAGTCAAAAACGTTAAGAACTTTCAATTTAAAGTTTGGTGAAAACAAAATAGAATTCAATAGTACTATAAAGTAGAACTTTGGAACACAGAAACCTCTCAAGCTTTAGTAACCGGTATGCAAACAACGTAATCTCTTTAACAAGAACAAATTAAAAGATCTGTAGAAGAAACCTGCTAGGAGAGACTGACTTTTCAACAACGGGAATCGCAGGTCCTGAAGAGAGACACAGATGGGTTGGGATTTAGGGTTGGCACTGCAAATCAAAACAAATACATTAATCGTGACTCCAGGGAGAGAAAGGAATAAAAATAAAGTCGCTGCACCAGAGGAAAAACAACGAAATCAAAAACCAGAGGAAAAACAACGAAATCACAAACGATGAAAATCTAAGCAAGCGAGAAAATGTCAGCGACCAGTTAAGCAAGCGAGAAAAAGCAACGAAATCACAAACGCTGCACCACAAACCTGCTATGGGAGAATAATTCAGTAGCAGCTGTTCTTTGATGAAAAAATCGCAACTCTAGAGAGAGGAAGACGAATAGTTTTCATCTGCTCCAGCCTCCCAGGTTGTCGCCCTCTGCTGCGTCTGGCCGTCCTCTTGGGTTCCAATTCCGTCTCACACTGACACTAGGGTTATGGAAAGGCTCTCCGCAGAGAAGTAGTAACCGATGAGAAATTGTAATCGATGAGACACCTAAGTTGAGAACCCGACTTTGGAAAAAAATAATTTCAAAAACATACACGTCTGTTCGAAAATTATCCGTCCTTGTTGACGCGGAAAAGACGATTCTTTTTTTGATTCCACGTCTGTTTTAAATTAACAGTCGTGAAATACCTAAAGTAGGCGTCCCTCCTATCCTTATTTCGTCGGTTACAAATAAAAACAGACGACAAAGACTTTATAATAGCGGTTTCTTTGGAACCGACGTTATATCTATGACGTGATATGTTGATATTGTAGTAGTGCAACTAACTCTTTCTTCCTCTTTCTAATAGTTGCATGGCGTCCGAGATGGAACGACAGAAACCCTAGAACTGTAGGGAAGGAAACATTTATAGAAAGCGATATTGATGATACATTAACCCTGTATATATTGTTTTATTTAATGGGTCATGCTCATCTTCATTCTCTTCTCCATTTCTTTTTCACTCTATCTCGCTATTTAAAAAAAATAATTAAACATAATATTTTTTTCTCTACCCCACCATTTCCCCATCTCTCTCTATCTCTCTCATAATGGAGAGTTCTAGTTAATGGAGAGGAGCAAAATTCTTATTTAATAAGGAGTATATAAAAATATAAAACAATAAATTGAATTTGTGCAAATAAATTGAGAGCCAGTTTGGAGACCCTTTCTTCGGCTTATCAGGCTTATCAGCCAGCTTTTTCACCAAACACGTAATTTTTACTTTCGCGTGCTGAATTGTGTAATAAGCAGAAAAAGTAAGGTTGGAGTTACTTTTCTGGCTGTATTGGCTGAAGTTACTGTAGATGATCACTTTAGCTATTTTTACATGTAATTTTTTCTTTATTTTATTAATAAAATATATTTTTAAAATATCTTTTTCTAGAATCAGCAGAATCAGCCAAAACAGCCACTTCAGCCAGAACTTCATAAATTTCAGCAGAACCAGCCAAAACAGCCGATTTTCGTGCTACCAAACGGGTTCTGAATTTAACACTTTATAAATGAGTAAAGGATTAGTTTGGTCCTCGAAGTTGCAAAAAAGGGGTCAAATAAGTCCTTATATAGAAGATTCTGTCCGGACGTGCCATTTGAGGTGGCTCCCGATAAAATTTTTTGATGAAATTTTTTGAGCATCTTATTCATTAAGTCTAGTTTACTCATACCAAATTTCAGCTAACAATTCAATCGGGGAGACATTCAAATGAATTCTTGAAGATAACTGCGCTTTTAACGGCATAGTTACCTTCAAGAATTCATTTGAATGTCTTCCCGAATGAATTTTTATTTGAAATTTGGTATGAGTAAACTAGACTTAATGAGTAAGATGCTCAAAAAATTTCATCAAAAAATTCCACCGGGAGCCACCTCAAATGGCACGTCCGGACAAAATTTTCTATACAAGGACTTATTTGACCCCTTTTTTGCAACTTTGAGGACCAAACTGACCCTTATCCCCTTTATAAATTATAACCAACCCTGTTTTACCGTGGCCTGGCCCATATAAAAATTAGTGCACCATCCGTCCAGAAAGAGAAAGCAAACGCACAGGCATCTATAGACCCCTCTCCTTCTGTCTGGCACCCAAAAAACACTGCCCCTTTTCCGATTTTGGCGGGAGTTGAAAAAAAGAGAAAAATGAAAGCGCGCGAAAATGCTCTCCGCCGGCCACTGCGGAGACGGACACGGAAAGTAGAGATTGATGAACCGGAGGCGGAACCCAAACCCAACGAGGACCCGGATTTGGATCTGGAGAAAGCAAGGCTCATAAGCTTAGCTATTGATTTCGGATTTGACGAAGACTCCGCCAATAAGTGTTTGGATCGCATAATTGAACTCTACGGTAAACCCTATCGTATACTATATCCTTGGTGTTTTTATTATTCTTAAACATTCCAATCCGTGTTTTCTAAATTTTACCATTCTCTCTGTTTCTGAAGGTGAGGATGGAAATGATTTCATCACAGTTGAACACTTCGGCGACGATTTTCTTGCCGCTTTGGCCGATTCAATGCAAGACGCTGAGGATTGGGATGATCTGAAAGCCATAGAATCAGAAGTTTGTTGTACTATGGCTGATATTCTGGATAAGGATGTTCTAGGCGACGCTGAAGCTGAAAATGACGGAAATATTCCTAGATACATCACAGGGTACTCACCAGAGAGTACAAGGAAAATGAATCCAGTGGTGTTGGATTCTTCTAGTGACAGTGAAGATATCCACTATGACGGAAAGGTAGACAAGACCAGTGCTCCCCAGACTCCTTCACATGCATTTGGCTTTGTTACGAGCAGTGAATGTGCTACTTCAAGTTCACATAGGTCTCCTTCTCAATATGCGGTAGTAATTCTTTATTCCATGATTTCCATCTTTAGAAATTAGAATTAGTCTGTTAGTGTACATTCTTTGTAGTCTTAACCATCTAGGGGGCAAGCGCCCCACTTCCGGTCCCGATAAACACTAACAGTATTTAGGTTATAGACTGCTGCCCGCTTCTAATTCGGTTGAATAGTATTAATTCTTAAATGAATGTTTAAACTCAGATATCGTTGAAAATGCCGAAAAGCATCATTGTGTTCAATAAGAAAAATGCATTTTTATTGAAACCGTTGTGCCCAATTGATGTTATTTTGGTCTCGATTGTTGTTATATAGAATCAATATAAAATGAATTTGTTTCAGATTGTTTTTCTATAAAATACAAGATAAAGATCAGGTTATATGGGCTAGTTTGTGGTGATTTTTACACCTTCCATCTTTAAATGAGATCTACATTTCAGGTATTATGCATGATTGAGGATAAAATTAACTTTTCCCTAATAATATCTAAATTAGTATAAATAATTGAATCTTTCATATTTAGAAACTACATGAAAGTAATACTGAATTAAAAGACTTAATAAGGAAAGTAAATAAGTAATACTGAATCCCAAAACTTAATACAAAAACTAAAAAAAGATAAGAGTTTTGGCACATACCAGTCACAAATTGGCATTAACTTTTCCCTTGCTTTTGTGCCAAATATCTCGAAACAAAGCGATTGCTACTAGGATTTTATCATAGATTTGGATAAAACGATTGCTACAGATTCACGGATCCTAGTGACTTTTGTGCCAAATTCATTATAATAATTTGTGCCAATTTTTGTCAACCCCATTGTTCTCTTTTGTATGAGAATTTATTAAAATTTGGATATGTAAAATGATATACTACCTCCGTCCCGTTGGAATGTTCCCGTTCGGTTTACGATGCTTGACTGACGATAAAGCAATTCGATCCCTGTTCACACTCCGCTTATTTTCAGTAAATAAAATTTACATATTCAGAAACTACATTAAAACCGCTACAAAGTCTGATCAAGAAAAGTTCAATTTGATAAAAATTTGATATATAAAGTAAAAGATTAGGAGTGACCTAAGTTGACCAATGAATAGTGAACGGGAACATTCCAACGGGACGGAGGGAGTAATAAAGTAGGATGCTGCTATAGTATAGCTGTGTGGAGTTCCTATCGGAATCCATATTTTTTATTGTTTTATTTTAGTTATGTGTCTTATTTTGTTGCTAATTTATTGGTTGAAGTCTATGTTGCTAGACTTGTGAGGGTGACTGGTAGTCTAGCTAGTTATTATGTTGTTAGAACTTTAGAAGTATGAAGATCTATATGACTAGTTATAGTTGTGTTAAGCCCATTTCCTGGTTAGCTATCCGTGTTGCTCTTTTTGGGGTGGCCGTTTCTATATCTAATTGTAGGGTTTATGATCGTAGTTTGTAGAGGTTAGCGGTAATCACTATTTGTCCTTTCGTGTTTTATATAACGATCCTGATTCCGATGACATTAATAGACGATTTCCAATAAAAAAGTGAGTTGCGGAAGAGTGAGATGAGCTGAACTTCAATTTGGGGAAATAGTAGTATTATATTTCAAACTAGTAGAAATAAAAAAATTTCAACACCTTGTAAGGTTGGGCATGGTCCTTATTTTGAATGGTAACTTAGATAGTTAGTTTTTATGATACAAATGATATAACTCTATTTAGCTTACACATAGCGTGTTGCTCAATAGTTGAATTTTCTTGATACAAATTCTACTCGTAGTTCATTTTTCTTCTAAAAACGGAAAATTCTCCAAATGAGATGTTTACCAGACCTAGAATTAGAAATTGTACATGACCCAAAACGGACACTTCTTAATCCTATTGGGGTTTAAATTCTTCAATATGAACACTTGAATTAATAAGACAAGAACTGGGCCACACTGGAGACAAGCTCACCCGCACCCCGCTTGAAAATTGTTCTGGGTCTGCCACTTTTAACTCTTATGGGGTGTTTGGTTTAGGTTATTCATTTTTACAGTCTCTTAAGCCACTCCCGTTAATTTTTACCTGCTTGATATGTTCAGATCGGTTTTGGTCGGTTCGATGAGTTTTTAAAGCATAATTTTCAAATCAAACAACTTATGGCAGATCGATTTTGATAGGTTTAGTTCCTGTTGGCTGTTGATCTCTTTTGCCTAGCTGTTACTTGCTCAATCCCAGTTGACAACTGAATGCTACACCTAATTGTTCATATATGAGTTTTTTTCTACCCATTAAATATGTCTAGGCATGAAAATGTAGTTGTTTTATTGGTGCTGAAAAGCTCTTCCTCTTTTTCACATGTTATGAAGAAATGTGCAAGCAAGGTTTCTAGAAGTTCCTTTTCATCTCTATCAAGTAACTCAAGGTCTTTATGGACATCGGTGAATGGAGATGTAACTCTTACTTATGGAGAATTGCAGCGGTTGGATGACATTGAGTTAGCAAATGTTGTAGTGTTTGGAAACCGCACTTTTAGACCTTTGCAACATAAAGCTTGCCAAGCTATTTTGCAAAAGCGTGATTGTTTTATTCTTATGCCTACTGGAGGTGGTAAAAGTTTGTGCTACCAGGTATAATTTCTCCACGCCTTCTGCACACGAGTTGTTTTTCATGCCATTTTGGAAATTTGTAGATTAAGACTGTTCTCTTCGCCTTGAGATTTTTCTTGTTACTTATTCTCACTTTAAGTAACAAACTCTTTTGTTATGAAACATCCGTCAGTCCATGCAATTTTTGATGCGATTTTCATCATGGGTCATCCAAAAACAGTCTATCTGTGCTTTTGTAAAGGGATAAGGCTGTGTACCTCCGATCTCCCGTACCCCACTGTAGGTGGGAGCCTTTGTGGCAGTGGGGTAATGTTGTTAATGTTGTAGTACTTATTCTTACTTTAATTAAACCATACCAGAATCAAAAGATACCAATCATACCATACTAGAAACATTAAGACCAGAGCAATCAAGAGATTCAGACCATACTAAAGACATTCAGACAAGATCAGTCCAAAAGATTCACATCAGTTCTTTGAAAATTAAGACCAGATAACTTTTTGCAAAACAAAACACCTAAATCAACTTATGGTAAGCCCTAAAGGGTTGCACATTCATGCTGTTTTAACTTTTCAAACAATATATAGATAGATAGTTCCCTGGAAAGTTAAATTAGAATGAAGTCTTTTTGGTGCTTGTACAAGTGGTTGAGTTTTATGGTTTCCTTTACGTTGTGCAGCTTCCTGCAATCCTGCAGCCAGGTGTTACAATTGTAGTGTCACCTCTACTCTCACTCATTCAAGATCAGATAATCACATTAAACCTTAAGTTTGGAATACCAGCAACGTTTTTGAATTCTCAGCAGAGTTACTCACAATCAGCTGCTATATTGCAAGAATTAAGGCAAGGTTCAATAGTTACAGCATCCCCTCTCATTTTTAAAAATAAACAAACCTACTGTGTTTTTAGGTTACATCTAAACTGTTATGCTGAAACCGAGAGTTTATTATGAAAACTAAATCCAAAATTATGGACTATCAGACTAGTAGGGTGACCACTGACAAAATGTTTGGCCAGGAATCTGTTTTGAATCAAATATACTACTTCCTCCTTCTCACTAAACTTTTTCCGTTTACTATTTATACCGTCAACATAATTTTTTGTTCCCATGTTTTGATTATCAAATTTCTATAAAATTCAAATTCTGTTTTGGTATAGCTTAAATATCCAAATCAAATATTAATACTGATGTAAATGTTGTCAGTCGGTATTAGAAAAGATAAGAAAGAGAATTGTAAACTGATCTTATTAATTCTGGAAGAAGATACAAGGTAATTATAGACTGGCCAGGTCATACAAAGCTCAGCTCAACAGACTAAACTAAGTCAACTAATAATAGGAACAAACTAACAAACTTATAACCGACTATCTATTAGTCCGTCTAACATTCCCCCCTCAAAGTTAGGGTGATTGAGGACTGAAATCAATCACACTAAGTTTGTTTTTAAGTTCCACAAATCTAGAGGCAGATAGAGGCTTGGTCAGTATATCAGCCAACTGATGTAGTGCATGGATGTGAAAAACTTCAAGTTGTTTGAGATGCACCTTTTCTCTCACAAAGAAAACATCAATTTCCATATGTTTAATTCTGGAGTGTAGGACAGGATTATGAGCAAGCTGAACAGTGCGAGTTTATCACAGTATACTCTGGGAATAGTAAATGGAACTTGAAGTTCTTTTAGTAGGAACTGTATCCATAGAAGCTCTGCTGCAGTGTCGGCTAGACTTCTATACTCTGCTTCTGCAGAGGATCTTGCAACACGAAGTTGTTTTCTTGACCACCAGGAAATAATGTTGGATCCAAGAAAAATGCAAGAGCCTTATGTTGACTTTCTGTCTGTAGGATCTGATGCCCAATCAGCATCACAAAATGCTGAAAGAGGAAGAGACATGGATGACAAAGGGGAGAGGTTTGATGATAAGCCCACGTGTGATAGTGCCAGAAAGATAACGTAGGATATGCTTTACTGCCTGCCAGTGTTCCTGTTGTGGTGTGGCCATAAATTGGCATACTTTGTTAACAGCAAAACATATTTCAGATCTAGTTAGTGGCATATTGCAGAACTCCAACTATGGACCTATAAGAAGAAGGATTAGGTAGGTAGTTACTGCCTTCATTGGTGAGCTTGTATTAGAAAAGTAGCCAGAGTATAGAATGAAGGAGAAGGATTTCATTAACCACATAATACCAGTACATCAGTATTTATAGTGTTCACATCAAACTCCTTCTACAACATCATCATCATCTTCCTCTCTTTCTCCTCTTCCAACTAACACTCATCCTATGCAAACTAGGGCAAAGTCAGGAATTGTTAAACCAAGATTGAATCCCACCTTACTATTAGCTCATACTGAGCCTAAATCAGTTAAGCAAGCTTTATCATCTCTACAGTGGTTTTCAGCTATGCAGGCTGAATATGATGCATTGATGGCAAATCAAACCTGGTCCCTTGTTCCCCTGCCACCTAACAAGAAAGCTGTTGGATGTAAATGGGTTTTGAGGGTGAAAGAAAATTCTGATGGTTCTCTAAACAAATTCAAAGCTAGATTAGTAGCCAAAGGATTTCATCAAAGATTTGGATTTGATTTTGGAGAAACCTTTTCCCCTGTTGTAAAACCTATTACAATCAGAATTTTGCTCACTCTAGCTATCTCTCATAAATGGGCAATTCAACAGCTTGATGTGAACAATGCCTTTTTAAATGGCAACCTAGAGGAAGAAGTCTATATGATTCAACCTCTAGGCTTTGAAGTCAAGGATCCCTCTCTTGTTTGCAAACTGCACAAGTTGTATGGCCTTAAACAGGCCGGCCCCCAGAGCTTGGTTTCAGAAGCTAACCTCTGTTCTTTATGCTGCTGGATTCAAGCAAAGTAAATGTGATCCCTCTCTTCTTATCTTTCTAAAGTCTGAAGTTCAAATCTACATTCTGATCTATGTAGATGATATCTTGGTTATTGGGAATAATCACACTGCTATTCAACAACTCATTCATAAACTCCACTCATCCTTTTCTCTAAAACACTTGGGGGAAATTGACTTCTTTCTGGGAATTGAAGTCAGAAAACAAAGTAATGGGAGCTTACTTTTATCTCAAACCAAATACATCAGAGACCTTTTACACAAAGCTGGAATGCTTGAGTCCAAAGGAGTCAAAACTCCTATGGTTAGCAACTGCAAACTCACCAACACAAGTAGTACTCCTTTACCTGACCCTTCTACCTACAGATCCATTGTTGGTGCCTTACAGTATGCAACTCTCACACGGCCAGAAATTAGCTTTGCTGTAAATAAAGTTTGCTAGTTCATGGCCACACCTCTACAGGATCATTGGCAAGCTGTAAAACACATTCTTAGGTACCTCTCTGGCACCATAACCCATGGAATCATTATTAAACCCTTACTCCTAGCCACTGTACCTCTGCCAATCTCAACCTTTTGTGATGCTGACTGGGCATCTGATCATGTTGATAGAAAATCTACTTCTATCAACAGCTTGCAAGTGCTAATCATAGGGGTTTTAGCTCCTTTTGACTCAAGCATACCAGTCCGATTAAGAAGATCTCTTATATATTTGGCCTGAGAAAGATGAAGACTTCCATTAGGAAGTTTGTGTGCTTCTATACCCAAGAAAAAATCTAAATCTCCAAGATGCTTTAGAGAAAAAGATGAATCCAGTTTCTGAATGAGCTGAGCAATAGCAGTAGAGTTATTCCCAATAATTAGGATATCATCAACATATATCCATATGTATATCTGAACTCCAGATGAGAGAAAGATAAGCAAAGATGGATCACATTTGCTTTGCTTGAAGCCAACAGCATATAAGACTGAAGTAAGCTTAAGGAACCAAGCTCTTGGAGCTTGTTTCAGACCATATAGTGACTGATGAAGCTTACAGACCAATGACATGTCTTTAACCTGAAAACCTGGAGGTTGGACCATGTATACCTCTTCATCAAGTACTCCATTCAGGAAAGCATTGTTTACATCAAGCTTCTGGATAGGCCAGTGATTAGATATAGCAATGGTGAGCTGATAGTGATGGGCTTAACCACCGGAGAAAAGGTTTCTCCAAAATCAAAGCCAAACCTTTGATGAAATCCTTTGGCCACCAATCTTGCCTTATATTTGTTCAAAGAGCCATTTGAATTTTCCTTAACTCTGTAAACCCATTTGCACCCAATAACTTGCTTATCTGGGGGTAGAGGAACAAAAGTCCAAGTATTGTTAGATATTAGAGGCTTAGAGCATCATATTCAGATTTCATAGCCTCAAACCATTCAGGTGAAGAGAGGGCTTGCTTAATTGATTTTGGCTCAACATAAGCTAATAGTAAGGTGGGATTAAGTCTAGGTTTCACTATTCCTGATTTGGCTCTAGTTTTCATAGGATGAGTGTTAGTCTCCGGAACTAAGGGTACTAGAGAAAGAGAAGATGAATTAGACTCGGTGTGAATTGGAGTTGCACCAGGAGAAGAAGAAGACTGTGTTGAGGATTCATGATTATTAGGATGTGAAGGGATTGACTGGTTTGTAGCAGAGTGATGTGAGTTTGATTTGGATGAATCAGGTGAAGAAGAAGATTGATTTGAAGACTTATTTGAAGAGGAGGAAGATGAATTTGTGAAAGATGTTGAGTCAGACTCATGAAGAATAGTTAGAGGTGCAGAAATAGGGATGGAAACAGTTGGTTGCTCTGCAGAAGAAGAAGAGAAGAGTGTAGTGCAAGGAAATTTAGATTCATGGAATATGACACCTCGAGTGATATATCTTGCCTGAGGGTGATAGGCACTTGTATCCTTTATGATTTGAGGAATAGCCTAGAAATACACATTCCCAAGAATGAAAATTCAGTTTGTGCTTGTTATATGGGCATATGAAAGGGTAGCAAGAGCAACCAAACACTTTTAAGAAGGAATAGTCTCGGAGTGAGCCATACAACTTGAAATAGGGAATTGAGTTGGAAAGAGATTTGGAAGGAGTTCTGTTGCTTAGATGGACAGAAGTTGCAAAAGTTGCATCCCAGAATTTTAGAGGAAGAGATGAATGAACAAGAAGAGATAGACCCTTTTCAACAATAGTGCGGTGTTTACGTTCAACAACACCATTTTGATGGTGTGTATGGGGACAAATGAGTCTGTGAGTAATTCCTTTTTTAGAAAGTAGTTTGGTAAAGGATCTAAACTCACCTCCCCAATCAGATTGTATGGATTTGATAGAGGCAGAAAATTAATTAAGAACATATTGATAAAGATTGGTGACAGGGGCAGGTCCCCACAAATCAGTAAAGACAAGTTCAAAAGGTGAATTGAAAATGGTGGTAGAAGCAGATGATGGTAATCTGTGAGCCTTGCCAAGACAGCATGTTGAACAAAATTCAACATTATCTTTATTGATATAAGGAACATTGCAAAGTTGAAGAACAGATTTCAAAGCCTCAAAATGAGGATGGCCTAGTTTAAGATGCCACAAATTACATATTTGAGAAACATTACAAGACTTAGAGTTATGACAAGTATTCAGAGCATGACTAGGTGATGTTGAAACATTGGCAGACTGAACTGGTGCAACAGACTGATGGGAATGTAGAGGAATGGACTGAAACTTGTAAAGACCATCTTCTCCAAGATTAGATGGGGTATTATAGGGTGCAAGATATGAATTGGGTGCAGGATTATAAGTTGGAGCATTGAATGGGATGTGATAGGCTGAAGGATTAAAGGACTGTTGATTCCAGTTGAAAGGCTGTGGAGATGGAGTAGACTTATTTGGAATAGTAGGATTTGGAGTGTGTGAAGGATTGGATGAGGTGTTATAAGGTGCAAAATATGAATTCGGTGATGAATTT